TTACAAGAAGTGAAATATTCTATATGGCTGTGTAAATAAGTATAAATGTATTCATATAATACAGCTATAAAATCTGTATTGCTGTCCCTTATTAATGGCTGTGCCTTAAAGGCTGCAGATCACCAACCAACACTCACTCCTCACATGGTGTGAAAAAAGCTTTATTTGTTTAGCATGCAATAGATTTAGTCATAGTCCAGTTCTAACATGGATGTCTGTATTGTCTCCAATGCAGATTAAGAAAGCCAACTTTCGTGATGAAAATTTCTCAGTTAGTGTAAGCAAATCAGCAAATGAGGTTGTTGCTACTTACACTAAGGATGAAACAGGAATGGATCTAGTCATCCGTCTCCCTGCATCTTATCCACTAAGGCCCGTAGATGTTGATTGTACTAGGAGCCTTGGAATTAGTGAGATCAAGCAAAGGAAATGGTTGATGTCAATGATGTTATTTGTTCGTAATCAGGTAACTTGTTATAGTTTGGTATTATATTTTCTGGTAGCTTCCGCTGCCTCTTTTTGTCCAACGGCTAGAAGTACACAAAGCTATTTCAGAGTTAAAATTTCAGATATATAATAATCTTTTCTGTATGTAGTGAATGATTGTCTCACGTAGAGCTCCGTGAAAAAATCTTCTGTGAATGAATTTTTTGTTGTTGCTGAATACTATGTTCTTATTTTGTGAAATACATTAAAAAAAAACTTAAGTGAGGTTCCTGATAAACAATGAAGCACGCGTATCCGATACGTTATTAATTGGAAACTACAAGATACGATACGTTTAAGATACGTATATAAAAATTAAAATTATATATTTAGTTAAATCATAATCTAGCAAAACCAAATTCATAATATTAAAGTGATGACTAAATTGTGGTATTAAGATTTTTTTAGTGAAAAAATGTGAAGGTATTATGAAGAAGAAAGTAACAAAGAGGTTGTAAGTTATAATATTAAAAAGTTATAAGGTATTTAGAACTTTCTTGTAAAAATAAAAGTAATGAGACGTACAAAAGAAGAAGTTATAACTAATATGAATTAAATTTAAAATATTGAACATTGGTAGCAACAAATTAAATCATTCTTGAAAAATGGTAAATGTCTGGGAGGAATTAAATAGGGTATTAAAGAGTGACCATTAAAACATTAAAAAAGAATAAAGAGTCATTAAAATTAAAAAAAATTGTTAAAATTGAAAAGTCACGTGTCGGAGATGTATCCCCGCTGTATCGGAATTTTTTCAATTGTTTTTTTAAAATAAATAAATTCGGATACTCCTCCGATATGTATGGGTGGCGTATTGGAGCGTATCGGATACGATACGGCGGGTTTTTTGAAGTATCCGTGCTTCATAGCTGATAAAGTTAACAATTTTTTTTCTGTTCCTGCAGAATGGTGCTTTAGCAGAAGCTATTGGAATTTGGAAGAACAATTTTGATAAAGAATTTGAAGGTGTTGAGGAGTGTCCAATCTGTTACAGTGTCATCCACACTACAAACCACAGCGTTCCTCGCCTTGCTTGCAAGACTTGCAAACACAAATTTCATTCTGCTTGCCTTTATAAATGGTTTTCAACATCTCACAAATCATCTTGCCCCTTGTGTCAATCTCCGTTTTGAGGTTACACCTGGAATGCTTGAAATATACCAATTTTGCTTGGAGTTACCTTCCGTGGAAATTATTAGCGCAATATTAGAATGTGTTACACATGAAAATCAATATTGCTTGGGAATCAAGGCAGTTCTGACTACTACTGGCAGTGCAATTTCCGGTTTTTCTATATTATGTATGCTTCACGTGAAGCAGACAGCTCCACTCCTTGATTTTATAAAGGAAACCAGGCAGCAGTTTGCGACATTGACACGTGTATACCATGTTTTCTATTGAGGCCAAAGAAATGCATCCAATTGCTTTTATTTATCAAATTTCTCTTCTCTATTTAGTTGTATCAGCTATACAGATTTTTTTTTGTGCTTAGAAAGGGTTAGTTCTGATGATAGGAGGTTGTCTGAGCAAGAGTGTATGTATATCTGCTTATTTATATTGACCATGTAATAACTAGAGTATGAATTGCCCTAGTAAGAATAATAGTTAAAACATCGCCTTTATGTGAAGTATATATATTAGCCATGGTACTCTGGATGAATATAAATGTTGACACTTTTTTTCAAGCACATTATGGTTGGCGTGAAATTTACAGGAGTCTTCCAAAACTGTTTGAGATTCAAGTGATTTATGATGAGAGATGACAAATATCTATTTGAGGATTTGACTGACATTTTTAGTAGTCTCTTTTTCCAATCACATTTTTTCAGTTCAAACTTCAAATTTTTATGCAAGAGATTCGTATTCAGTTTTGCTAAGACAACACATGTTGGTTGCATGATGCTTGTGTGCATTATCGTCATCTTTCTTTTTCCATTACACTGCTCTATATCCATTGCATGCCAATCCCCTACGGTATTTTCGTGGAAAGTAGATGAACAATTAACAAGGTACTTTTTGGCAGTGAGATTATCATGAAGTGGAATAACAAGTTCTCCTGCAGAGAAACACTAGTACTTAAAGAATCATGATAAGTTCTCCCAAAGAGAAGCACTAGTACTCAGAAACATGGGCTTTTTGTCTATAACAGCATAAAAGGGTATTATTTTAGGGAATTTCGTAAAGTCTCCAATGGTTTTCTATGACACCATGCGAAAATACATAAATGCTCTTAGATATCGAAAACGTATTTTCGGAAGCACCATGAGTTAGGTCTTTGGTGGGCAAGATTTTATAAAATAACTTAAAACTAATCGAAAATGTATTTACAGGAGTATTTGTAGTTGTATTTTTGGAAGTACCTCCAATATACACAATGGTTCAAATTAAAAAATACAAGTTGACACAAAAAAATTAATCGAAAATGCATTTACAGGAGGTCCCGTAGTTGTTTTTCTGATGTGTTAGCACATAAATGCGCACTGTCTCTTTTCCTTCCTCATTTTCAGAAAGTTTTTGAATTGAAAAATACTCAAAACCAAACCCTCTCAAACCTCATTGTATCATAGTTATCCCATTTTGCGAAAAACTCATCAGAAATCATCAAACATCAGACAAACTTCAGTGTTCAAGCAAATTCAACTAATAAAAATTATCATTTGTAAGTTATTTTTGAGCTTTTTGGAGTTAATATAATTTCACTTAGAAATTGTGTTTTAAGTTAGATAATTCAAGTTATTTTAGTGTTTGCAAGCTTAAGAGTCATAAAAAACGTGTTAGATATGTTTTTTTTTTAACGATCAATGACCAGTTTTTTAAGGTCACTGGGGCTGAGCTTCGCCATTGATGAAGCTGAAATTTTGTAGGTCGTATCAGAGGTGTATTTTCGATTTTCTTCAACGTTTACATCAAGAATCGAAAATGCATATGCTGTTTTAGGCTGTCTGCATTTTCTCATTTTTTTAACATGAGTCATTTTGTTAACGTTTATTTCGTACTTCTACAGGGGTAATAGATGAGAGACCATCTAGTTTGAGACATGGAAGACTTGCACAATATGCTTATGTACGGAGGGAAATGAGTCAGGCATCTCACGCCCCTTCTGCCTTTGGATAGGCTGTGCCGAATACGCCTACAGGTTCTGGTGTTCATATTTCTACGCCTACTTCATCGTCCTCCCGCAGCAGGCGAGGTTCTCCAGCTCATCTCTCCCGACCTCCGTCTTTCCGTAGACGCACTGCCTCATCAATGGTAATTGAGGTAGGAGAGACATCTGGTTCAGCCGACACCTGAGGCCACCCAGCCAACACCTGATGCATTCCAACAACAACCTGCATCCCAACCTCACTCACAATCAACACCTGATGCATTCCAGCCACAACCTGTATCCCAGCCTCAGTCACAGACACCCGAGGCGACACCTGAGGCCCATGAAGATGAGGAAAAGAGTTTTGGAGGAGGGCCTTCTGTTTTATCATTTTTACCTCTATGTTCAGACTATGTTGCCAGACATATCTGAGACAGAGAGGTATGGATTTTGTATTCTTTGTTCTATTAATTTTTTGTTGAATTTATTTTATTATTAATTTTTGTTGAGTGAATTTTGTTAAATCATGTTTGCAGGAACGTGATTCGCTGAAGATCATTAATCATGCGTGGAAGATCACTAAACTCACAGCTCCTTTGGAGCCAAGGTTTTAAGAGCTCTTGATGCTTTCAGGGTTCAAAGACTTGATCCTCTATGGATATACTACTGTTAATCATGGTATGATTAACACTTTTGTTGAGAGGTGACTCCATGAGACGTTATCGTTCTACCTACCATATAGTAAGATGACGATCACACTGGACGACGTCGCATGTCAGCTGTATCTTCTGATAAGAGGGAGATTTTTAGACCATGAGAGGTGCGACAAAGAGAAGGCGTAGGAGTTGTTGGTAAAGAAATTGAGAGTTATGGATGAGATGGAATCCACATGTGGTGCTCACGTCAGATTTAGTTATTTGAAGAAGATGTTCACGATTGAACTACACCGTGCACAAAAGAATGATGGTGACCCCGAGCAGGGTAGCCCATCATCGGAGGTATGCTATGAGAGCATACCTTTTGTATCTGATTGATACAACCATTTTGTGGGATACTAGTGCCACCACTACGCCAAAAGTGATTTTTAACAGCGCACATTAGACATCGCTTTTGTACAAAAGCGCTGCTATAAGTGAATTAAAAAAAACACGGAAACTGTATAAAATAATTTGTAAAAGCGCTGCTAAACATATGACCTTAGACAATCCTTTTAAAAAGCGCTGCTAAAGGATTGCTTTAGAAAGCGCTTTATCATAAGCGTTGGTAAAGGTCTACTTTAGACAACGCTTTAAGAAAGCGCTGTCTAAAGTCATAAAAAATTAAAAAAATATTAGAAAAGCGCTGTTAAAGGACACTATTAGCCAACGCTTTTCAAAAGCGCTGCTATAGGTCCATATTAGCCAGCGCTTTTAAAAGCGCTGTTAAAGGACACTATTAGCCAACGCTTTTCAAAAGCGCTGCTATAGGTCTATATTAGCCAGCGCTTTTAAAAAGCGCTGACTAAACCCTTATAAGTGAAAATTAAAAAAATAGAATCTGTGTATTCACAGATTCACGAATACAGAAGCGAAACCCTTTCCCTCCTTCAACAGTAAGCGAAACCCATTTCCTCCTCCGTCGCAAATCCTTCACCGTCGTACACCGTCCTCCACCGTCTTGCTCGGTTTTCCTCCACCCACACCGGACGATTCTCAAGGTATGTTCTTTATTGAAAATGTCTTTATCTCCATTGATGTCCAAACTGAGTTATCCTCCTTGATAATGTACTATGCTAACATCTAAGACATTATCCTCCTATTGATGTCTAAACTGGGTTATATGTATGCATTTTAATTTTTGGGTTCTTGGTAGGGCTTGATATATAACAGCAACACTTTTAGCATTTAGCATTATTGCATTTTCTTTTGGTTCTATGTTTTGGAATAAAAAAGATGATATATATGATGGTTTTTTTTTTTGTTATTTTAATTGGTTTCTGAATTGTTTATCATGTTTATATTTTCCATGAACTAGTATTTTGTTACTAGTATTTTGAACCTATATATATATATATATATATATATATATATATATATATATATATATATATATATATATATATATATATATTATATATATATATATATATATATATATATATATATATATATATATATATATATATATATATATATATATATATATATATATATATATATATATATATATATATATATATATATATATATATATAACTTGTTTTTGATGATCCTTTTGTATTGGTGTAGTTAGTCGAAGATCATCACTGATTCGAAGAACATCAAAGCCGCATCATCCGCCGTCGACACCAATAGCCCCTTTTCTTTCTTTGGTAAGTCAAGTTCAAATTCTATCTGTATCGATCAATTAAAAAACACAATTATTTTTATATAGATATATTTATTTTTTAGTCCATGTTATTAACTTTATAAATAAATTTCTAGAAATAATTCGTTTAATTCAAACAAAAAGAGAATAATCCGTTTATAGTGTTTTTTGTTTACTTGAATAAGTAGAAAAAAATGGATAAAAAATGGATGTTTGCCGATCGATTGTCACAAGAGTATGAGAATGGGGGTATTGGAATTCGTTAAGTTTGCTGTTGAACACGCCAAAGACCCCAGTCGAATGAAGTGTCCTTGCTTGGGTTGTTGTTATGTGGGTCGGGTTAACACAGATGGATTGAAATTGCATTTACTAATGCGTGGAATTGATAGAAGTTATACGTGTTGGATATTTCATGGTGAAAAAAGTAACGAAAACTTTGAACCAGGGGAGAAAAGTAGTACGGCCTATGCTTCAGACGACAAGGACACAAATACATACAATTTTGATCGAGTCGAAGAGATTGCAGATGCACTTGAAGAAGATCTTCAGGATTGTCCCAAAATGTTTGAGAGATTGGTAAGCGATGCAGAGAAACCGTTGTATAAAGGTTGCACTAAATTCACAAGACTGTCTGCGGTATTAAAGTTGTATAACTTAAAGGCGGGCAATGGATGGTCAGATAAAAGTTTCATAGAGTTATTAGCCCTTATGAGAGATATGCTTCCGGAGGATAATGTTATTCCTAATCGAACCTATGAGGCCAAAAAAATGTTGTGCTCTATTGGCATGAGCTATGATAAGATACATGCTTATCCAAACGATTGCGTTTTGTTTCGAAATGAATATGCATCGTTAAATGAGTACCCTAAATGTGGTTTGTCTCGATATAAGAAAAAAATTGTCTCCAACAAAAGTCTTATGGTATTTTCCTATAATTCCGAGATTTAGGCGAATGTTTCGTAGTGAAACCGATGCAAGACACCTTACTTGGCATGCAGATGAAAGAATTATTGATGGAAAGTATCGACATCCGACAGATTCACCACAGTGGTCGAAAATTGATAATGATTATCCTGATTTTGGAGAAGAAGCAAGAAACCTACGGTTGGCTTTATCTACTGATGGAATGAACCCGCATGGTCTTCAAAGTATCTCACATACCACATGGCCTGTGATTCTTATGATTTATACCTACCTCCATGGCTATGTATGAAGCGTAAGTACATGATGTTATCTGTGTTAATATCTGGGTTAAACAACCAGGGAATGACATAGACGTATACTTGACACCTTTGATCGAAGATTTAAAGATTTTATGGGGAGAACGGGGTGGAGGTTTATGATGGATATAGGAAACAAAGTTTCAATTTGAGGGCGATGTTGTTTGGCACAATTAATGATTTTCCAGCATATGGGAATCTATCTGGGTATAGCATTAAAGGTCAACGTGCGTGTCCTGTTTGTGAAGATGGAACCGATACGACGCGTTTGGAACTTTGTCAGAAGAATGTGTTTCTCGGTCATATTCTTACATTCTAAACATCACTACCGTGCGTGGAGAAAAGCATTCAATGGAGACACCGAACAATGTAAAGCTCCATCTGCATTGTCAGGTGACCAAATTTTTAAAAAGGTGAAAGATGTGTACTCAGTTTGGCAAGCCTTTTGCGCATACGGTTGTCAAAGGTGGGTGGAAGAACATATCGATTTTTTTGAATTGCCGAATTGGAAGTCTCTGTATGTGAGACATTTTCTCGATGTTATGCATATTTAAAAAAATGTATTTGAAAGTGTTATTGGTACGTTACTCAATATTAAAGGAAAGTCTAAGGATGGCCTTAAAGAAAGGGAGGACATGTTAAAGATGGGAATACGAACTGAACTAGGACCGGTGAAGAAAGAAAGCCGAACATATCTACCACTACTACTTTTACTCTATCTAGAAAGGAGAAAAAGATATTGTGTAAGTTTCTAAGTGAAGTTAAAGTTTCAGAAGGATACTCTTCAGATATTAGAAGACTTGTGTCTATGAAAGACCTCAAGTTAAAGAGCTTAAAGACACATGATTTCCATGTTATAATGGAGCATTTTCTACCAATAGGTATACGTTTTATTTTGCCAGATAAAGTAAGGAGTGCGATAACTAAGTTGTGTTTTTTCTTTAGGTCAATTTGTAGTAAGGCGATTGATCCTGAGATCTTACTAACATTGCAAAAAGAAATTGTTATTACTTTGTGTGAGCTTGAAATGTATTTTCCTCCCTCATTTTTTTGACATAATGGTATATCTAGTTGTTCATCTTGTGAAAGAGACACAGTTGTGCGGCCCAGCTTATATGAGATGGATGTACCCTGCTGAACGTTATATGAAAGTATTAAAAGGGTACGTGAAAAACCGAAGTCTCCCAGAGGGTTGTATTGTTGAGCTATACATTGTTGAAGAAGCGGTTGAGTTTTGTACTGAATATTTGTCCAAAGTTCAATCCATTGGATTCCGCAAAAGTCATATTTTTGAAAAAAAGGAAGGTAAAAGATTAATTGGAAATAAAATTGTGATAGTATCAAAAGATGAACGGGATCAAGTGCATCTGTATGTTCTGCACGATGACAGTGAGGTTGAGCCATATGTTGAAATGCACAAGGATATACTCTGAGGGTTAAATCAGAATAGAAATGAAAATTGGATAGTACGGGAGCACAATCAAATTTTCATACCATGGTTTAAGGATCATATTTTTTCAAAGCTTCATTCAGATCCCGCTTCAATAACAAAAAGGTTGAGATGTTTGGCATATGGTCCAAGTTTGCATGTGTTTTCCTATAGCGCATACGCAATTGATGGATACACATTTTATACCAAAGAACAAGATGATAAAAGTACTATGCAAAATAGTGGTGTCACCGTTCTTGCTAAAGCAATGCACATTTCTAGCATGAA